TCTTGGTTTATTTCTGCCAAAATACTATCATCTTTATACTATCAACATATTTTGATTGGCATCAATTTTCTTTTTTAGAGTTTCCCTATCTGAAGCCCATGCTCGGCTGAACTTAAGGAATAAAGTGCTTAAAGAAGATGTACTAATTGCAGTCTTATTATTTGAAACATCTCTCACATTGAAATACGGTAATCTTTTATAAATTATTAATGATGACCACAAATAATTATATTTAAACTTAAATATTTTTACTCTGTTAAATTGTCATATATATTTTAAATACTAAAGATTAATAAATTTCTATCAGGTAAGGCCTGTTTTTATTTGAACATTCACTAACTGCTTATAGGTAGTATCATTATCTGATATTAAGTTCCTTATTGTGCATGATTGTTTCTATACTTGAACTTTTGCATTGTTTAAATAATTCTAGAAAAAAATATACTTAATACAACACATTGAATGATTTTAAATTTATCTTCCTTTTAATATAACACACAACATTTAATAGCCATGCTGTCCCCCACAGTAGGGTTAGGCACATAGACAAAGAAATGTGATTGTCTTGCATCACCACCTTCTCTGAATTGCTAGTTATAATACTATGACTGTAGCATTTAATTATTTGAAATGAATGGAGCTTATTATGGTTTTGCAAATAAAAACCAAAGAGAACTCAATGTAAGAGTAAAGCAAGTTATTCTCACAGAATTCTCTGTTCAATTAGATGAGACATTAATTTTGATGAGATAAACCATGCTTCAAACCAAACTTTAGTTCCAATCCTGAGACTTAAAGGATATTTTAACAGACTTTTCTGTGTGTATGTTTAGTGCTTAAGTTTGCTTTAAATTCAATTTATATTGTAATAACTTTTTGCAAAGATCCACTAGAACATTAGACCTTTATTCTATAATTATGTATCTTGAGCATTCCTAACCTAGGATCCATGGATACTCAGAGAGTCCTAGGGGCTTCTGAGTCTCTAAATTATATGTAAATTTGTATATGTATATGCTTTATACCTTTTTGCTTAGGGAGATAAATCATGACCCCTGGAAAGGTAAATTATCATCCTGAATTAATTTTATTTACCAAAAGGGAAAAAAACTGGTTCCCAACCAATACTAAATAAGTGGAAGGATATATAAATATTTTAATTTTTAATTTGCTTTATCTTTACATTCTTGTGTTAAAATGTATTTAAAACATAATTGTTAAAATCCAAGACACATTATTTATGTACCATAAAGAAAAAATGCTTCCCAGCCAGCATGGCACAGTAGTTCAGCGTTGACCTATGAACCAGGGGGTCACTGTTTGAATCTGGGTCAGGGCACATGCCCAGTTTCGGGCTCTATCCCCAGTAGGGGGCATGCAGGAGGCAGCTGATTAATGACTTTCATCATTGATGTTTCTACCTCCCTCTCCCTTCCTCTCTCTGAAATTAATAAAAACATTTTTTAAAGTTTTTTTAAAAAAGAAAAAAATGCTGCCAATTTTACTAAGACATACCATCAAAGACGTCTAGGACACTACTGGATTTCAGTAAGAAGACAAAAATGTGTGACTTTGAATTTAAAATCTATAGTATTATACTAAGTGCTCCTGTAGTAGAATATGGTTCTTTTCACTTTGTAACTGTTTTGCCAAGACTTTTTTAAAGCATTTAAGAAAACATGTGTTGAGGGAAATAAAACTGTGTAGATTTTTTCCCCTTTAATTTTTGTTTTCATAATAAATTTCAGTTAGGTATATTGATTTTTAAGTCTTAAGCAAAACAATGTTAAGAGCTCCTTAAATATTACTTTAAACATAGTAGGAAAATCATCCGTACTCCAGGACATTTTTCTTGGATGAAAAAACCAGTAGGTTGTGCTCCTAAACTAGATTTAGAAGTTGGGGAAGTGCGTAGAGGTAGGAATTAAGGAAAACTTCCAGGTTTCTGCCTTAAGAAACTGAATGGATCATAGTGCCATTTACCAAGACTGGAAAGAAAAAAGGACTTGGGAGAAAAATCAAATTATAAATGTGAAGTTTGAGACATCATGGAGATATTAGTAGACGTGTTGTAGGTGGTAGGAACGGCACCAGGTGTGGGATACATGAGGTAAGACCTTGCTTTCAATTCTTTTGGGCATATACCCCAAAGGAAATTGTTGCTTCATATGGTAATTGTTTATTTTTTTTATGAACCGCCATACTGTTTTCCATAAGGGCCACACTATTTTACATTCCTACCAGCAATGAAGAAGGGTTCCAATTTCTTTAATAGTAGCCATCCTTATGGATGTGAGGCAGTATCTCATTATGGCTTGATTTACATTTTACTATTGAGCATCTTTTCATGTGCTTATTGACAATTTGTGTATCTTTGAAGAAATGTCTACTCAAGTGAAAAGGGTTGCCTTTTCTTTTGATAGATTTGATGCATACAAATTTATTTCATGTGGTCTAATTTATCTACTTTCTTTTGCTATCTGTGCTTTTGGTGTTATGTCCTACAAATCATTGCTGAATCAAACGTCATAAACTATTTCCCCTGTGTTGTTCTCTAAGGGTTTTACAGTTTTAGTTCTTATGTGTAGGTCTTGGATCTACTGAGTTAATTTTGTATATGATGTAAGGGAAGGGACCAACTTCATTCTTTTGCATATGGATATCATTTTCCCAGCACCCACTTGTTGGAAAGCCTGTCCTTTCCCTATTGGTCTTGGAACCTTTGTTGAAAATAATTTACCATATACGTGAGGGGTTATTTCCAGGCTCCTATTCTATTGCATAGGTTTGTATAATTGTCTTTATGTCAACGGTTTTTAATAGAGAAATGTACAGTGATGTCTTTATCGTCAATCAAGTAAATATTAGTTTCCCTACCTTCCAGTATCCCACCTACTTTTCCAACCTCCTTACATGACTAGTCAGCTTCAAAACTGTAATGACTATACAATACAAGGCAAATTTTGTTTCCAAACTTTAAAATTTAAATGTTTTCTCTGGTACCAGTGTGTATGTACACTTACTGAACCTTACTGGGTCTCCAAAAATTAAAAATTTAAATGATTATTTGAAAATGTGATTTCATATTTAGCATTTTAAGTAGTATTTCTCATTTACCCTTTTTTTCTTTCTTCACATAGGGGCCACTGTATTTTGTGTTGCTCCAAATGCAGTGTTTCCATTTGAACTATATAATGAAGAATATTTAGAACAAAGGGATATCTATCTGACTCAGTGCCAACAACAGCTCCTACAGTTTATTGCCACATATGGACCTGGGACAGCTATTTTCTCTAGTGATGAGTAGGCAATCTGAGGAAAATTTTCTTCATTCATACTTCAGCAGTAGAAAAAAATGTGATACTGAAGTTATGATTCAGGTAATACTGTGTATAGAAGTACATTAGAATGCCACCTTAAAAATTATCAAATATGGTCTGCAAATTAATTGCTAATAGAATAAACACTAATTCAAATCTCAAAGCTAATAGAAATTTAAAACTTAGGAGAATCCTATTAAAAAAAAGACTGACTAGCCCAGTATACCAATGGGCAACAGATAAAAATAGTTGCCAGTTAAGCAGTGTAAAAAATGGTAACTTTTATGTAGTTCCCTTGATTTGTCACAAGATGGCAACAGCACTTTAGATGAGTACCTATAAAAGGTTTTCTCTTGGACTTTTGAACTGACAAATTGAGTAAATTAACAATTTATATAAATAGAAAGCTAAAATTTAAGGACTTTTTTATGCTTTACTAGACACTGACGTGTCCATTACATAGTTTTCAAAGCCCTAATTATGGAGTCAGGAAAAGTCTTGAAATTTTTCCATTTTTTTATAAACCAGGTTAAATAAAACAAAAAGGAATTTAAGTCAAATCAAGCTGTTTAAACCTAACTGGTTACAAGGAAGATACCAAAAGGCAAAGAAACCAATCTGAAGACCCAGTCTTCATTTTTGGAGGAAGATACCTGCTCTGAAAAGGTATGGACACCATGAGAAAATATACTTCATTAGAAAATACTGAATATCCAACTGGTGCCAGTTTTCAGAAGGAGTTATTTTTAAAAGCACATATTACAATCCTGCTGTTAAGACCTTGTTGTGTACCTTGTGTTAACTATATTTTTCTGGTTGAGATGGAAGCCAAACATTTTGTAAATTAAGACCCATAAAATGCCCTCTATTTTACAATTATAAAGTGTTATGGTTCTGTTAAAACAAGAGGACTAATAACTCTGACAGGGGAATGGTTTTCAAATACTAAATGCAGTGATTATTAATGTTGCTATACACATTTTATACTGTCTGCCTTTCCATATTGAAATTATAATCCTAATTAAAGACAAGGAATTTATTAGTATGGGAGTCAACAGGGGAAAACAAGATTTAGTAAAATCTTCACCCAGGTAGGAATTCAGCTGTTTTAGAATTTTTGTAAACTCTCAAGTCCTGGACAGACTGGACTGTCCAGTCACTATTTTTCTTAATAAATACTTGTACTAGGATTACAATTACTTTTTTGTTCACAAAGGTAAAAGCAATTAAGATTTGTAGGTCACAGGTGAAACCTTTAGTTGTAAGAGGTAATTCATTAGGGAGTTTTCTAACTATAGTTGTTCCCCTTTATCCATGGGGTATGTTCCCAGACCCCCACATGGATACCTAAAAGCACAAAAAGTAGCAAACTTTTTCCTATACATACCTACAATAAAGCTTAATTTATAAATAAGGCACATTAAGAGATTTAATAAAATTATACTATAATCATAAAGTTCTAAGGGTTACTTAACAAGCACTGATGAGACAGCTACTGTAACAGGCAAGTAATGTACAGTGTGTACACTGGGTAAAAGGATGATTCACACTACTCAGAAATGTGTGCAATGATAAAACTTAGGATAATCACTATCCACAAATAAGCTAGTTATTAACTTACTGTCCCTAAGGTATGGTCAAAAACAAGTCTGACTAGTGACTATGAGAATGGAGACTTGATGTTTTAAAGAAAACATTTTATTGTCCAGCAATTAAAAGTATTCAAACATGTATTTTCTACAGAATTTTATTGTGAGTTGATCAGTGTTAAATGTTACTTTTCATCATTTGCTGTAATTCATGTCTTCCTAACCAATTCTGTTTTTCCTTCCAAAACCGTCACATGCCACACCTAATAAAAAAAAAGTCAGAAACCAATAGTGAAAATCATTCTGTACTCAAACACAAAGGAAATCATACCCCTAACAAAGCAACTAATAGGAAATAGCCCCAGCCCTTTCGAACTATCAATAGATGCTTGATAAATCATAAAAATAATTGCTTACCTGAGGCAATGAAGAATTTTTAACCACCACAGCTAAGAACTCAAACATTCATTCACTTGTAGCTACCTATATGCTGAAAAGAACATTTCACGGATTTTAGTAAAAAAGAATTGCATTATAGTTGAATTCACATAATCTCAGTATAGATTACTGGCATCTCAGTCTTAAAATTATTTCTTCAAAGAAACCCTCAGCTGGGTAAACGGCAAAAATTTAAGTCATCATTGTGCCAGTTATTAAATCCTATGTAAAAAATATATCAAACATTTTTGGTACTGTTCTTCACGAACAATACCAAATACATAAATAAAATTTTAAAAAGCACACAATTTAACATTAACCTTTGGTACCTTGTTACATGCAGTTGTGCTTCTAGGGGGTTAGTCATCCTCTGTAAGTTTTTGGAAAACATTCATCATGACAACGTTCAGTGATCTTCAACTCTTAGGCTCTGTTGCATCTGGAAATTAATTTATTGTAAATTTTTATTTGTACTTGCACCTGTTTGGCATCCTGTCTGCAGGAACAGTGCAGTTCCAGTTAAGTTTTTTCCTTATCAGAAACCATAAACATAACCATACTCCCAACCCTCCTGATTCACCAATTTTTAAAAACTACTAATACCATGTAGTGGAGTAATTTTCTTTTTGCTGTTTAACATATCTCTAATGGAACACTAGAATGTACTTGCTGCCTTTTTGGTAGTCAAAACTGATAAACCTAAAATTAAATTTGTACAATGATTTGAGAATGTGTTAGTCCTTTTGACTGATTAGACCCTAATAATTCCATAAATGATCTTTCCAAGCTGGAAATGGATTCATTAGTATGGGCAGGAAAAATGGTGGGTATATTTACATTCTTTACTGTTAGTATTGATTTTAAGACATGATGATCCTAATGAGAATCCAGCCATTGCTTTTCTGTCTCAGAGTTTGACAAGGATAAGATATGAGCCAGGTTAAAGGTCAGATATATAAAATCAAATGTGCAGACCTCCAACTAAAAGCATTACAATGGCAAATCTAATAGTTTTAGAGCAGAGATAAATTTTGTTGGCATCATTATTGGACACAGTCCTGTAGAATTAAGTCCCCAGTTACCTGCAAACACACTTGGGCACTGCAAAGGGCACGGCCAGGGCCACAGATCTTGTCCTGGTGGATAAACAACTGAACCAGCAGCTGTTGGAAATGACTTATGAGCATATCGAATGTTGGACTCTGCAAAATAACATCACTTTCAAGTCTTGAAATGCTGAAATATTTCACATAATCAATATTAGGAACAGACTATTGGTTATGAATAATTACAACTTGGATAATTTCAGTTTAATATGATTCATAGAAACTACTGACAACTACACGGAGTCCCATTTGTGTAATGCCTAAAACAAGGAAAATGTTTAGGGATGTACATGTATAAAACTGGTACACACCCCACTCCCCTCAGACCACTAGGAGACTGGACACAAAATCCAGGTGGGCACCTCAGGATGGAAGGCAAGGGGAATGGGAGAGGGAAGCAGATACTACAGTATTGGTAATATCCCAGCTCTTAAATGGATCGGTGGGCTCTCCTGTATTTATTATGTTGCAGGATTTAAGTGCATCCTCAATATTTTTATCAAACATTTAGTTTGTAAAACTTAAACTTCCAACAATTAGTCATGAAAACAGGATTCAAGCCACTTAGGTCTCAATAAGGATGGTAACACCAATTATAAACTGCTTTAAGCTATCACATTTGCCCTGTTAGCTTGTTCTGGATGAAGCAACGTATTTCAAATTTGGGGAGAGGAAAAACAAACCACATGACTATACTAAGTCTCACCGACGAGATATATTTTTTTGAATAAGCAACATGGTCTTCCAGTCTCCCAGCTGTCGGCTAGTTTCTTCTGTGTTATGTGCAGAAACTCATCTTTACGTAAACTCAAGCATCTAAAGGTACAGCAGGCATTTAGGGCCTAAGGGCCCTCCATACGGCACATACTGTTCTCCAACTTCAGTACCAATTTTTATTGGTCTACTTAGAAAGGACGATCCAGAACAAATGCCAGTAAGTAGCTCTAATGGGTCGAGACCATAACTGTTAATCAGTAGGTAAATTGTGCTCTTAACAATTTTAAAAAATCAATTACAAAGTACAGTTTAAGGTCTAACATCCAAGAAAGAATCCCTTCCCCCTTTATAAAATAACCCCTTACTAAGGCTGTGCCGCCCATTTAAGGTACCCTGACACTTCCTAGGCCGCACACAAAGCTTTACCAGAGATACAAACAAAAGGGCCCAGGAGAAGGCCCGGCGGAGCACGAAGCCCACTGACTTGGGATCCATCTGAATCGTAGGCCCTTCGTTTCTGAGCTGAGAACAGTCGGAACCGGCGTAGACCAAGATAAGTTAAGACTCGCAGGTAGTTACTCACAAAATACGACTGAGCAGATGACGTGAAGGAAGGCTCGTGGCCGCATCAATTGGGGGTGAGGGCAGAGGCTGCACCGGGGCAAGGGACGGAGACTACCGGAATGGAGGCCCCGGGCGCGGGACCAAAGGGCGGAGGGCCGAGGCGGGCTTGGGCTCCCGCACAGGGTCGGGTTCCCAGCAGAGAGGAGGAACTGAGATCGCGGAGGCTCCCACCTCGAAAAGCTCGGCAACGCGCCCGCAGGCGCTGCGCCCGAGGCCGCATGACCCGCGTGGCTTAAGGTACCTCACGCAACTTCCTCCGCACGCGGCCCAGCGGAAAAGAAAGAGAGCGGCCGCGGCGGGCTCTTAGGCGCTGCGGGGGCCCCGCCCCTACCGGGTTGGGAGCCGCCCCTTCCGGCTTTGGCCCCGCCCCTGCTAGCGCAGCGCGCGCCCTGCGG